TAGGGGAAATGGGGGAGAGGGGAGGGGAAGGTGGGGGAGAGGAGAAGATGGGGGGAAGGGAGGGGAAGGAAGGGATTGATGAAGGGAAGGAAGAATTGGGGGAGATGGTAGGAAATGGGGGGAGATGGGAAGGGAGGTGAGGATTGGAAGGGGAAGATGGGAAGGGAGAGAGAAAAACAGACAGGAAGATGGGCAAGAAGAGAGCTGGAGAGCAACCCAGATCTGAAGGGTGGAGGGGAGGGGACAGGACCAGTCTTCTTATATGATGTGTGAAGGGGGCACCTGGATGCGGTCGGAGTAGTTGTCCAGCAGAAGGACCCCTGAGCTGGTCACTTTCTTGGTTTCTACCATGGTCTTCAGGTCAGCTAGGAGGGTCATGTGCTTGGACATGTCGGTGGCCAGCACCTGTGGACAAGGGGGCTGTCACAGGGGCCACTGGATCTCCCCACCAGACCGCTGTGCGGGCCGGAGCTTCTCAAGTTTTCACTGGGCACGACCTGTCCCCACAGGTCCCGCCAAAAGACTCCCCCCGCCCAGGGGCCTTTCGGTCTCAAACTCAGACCTTCCCACGGTGCCACCCCTCCAAGCCGACCTTTCCTGGTCTGCCCCCGCCCCGCCCACCATGTCGATGACCATCTTGCGCAGGCTCTGCCGCTGGCGTTTGCTGAGGTTCTGGAAGATGTCACAGTTGTCCTGCTGCAGCAGCTTGAAACCCACGGCCAGGTGGTGGTTCTCCAGCACCGACTCGTCATTGTACATGAGCGCCAGCTCCGAATCTGCCCAGGCGGGGCGGGAGGTCAGGGGGAGAGAGCGCCCACAGGTGGGCCCGCCCACCTCCACTCCAACAGGCCCCCCCCCCTTCCCCCGTGGAGGGGCGCTCACTGGTGTTGATGAGGAACTGGTTGGAGACCCCGGGGTGGTCCACGTCGTGTATGGCAGCTGCAAAGAGGGCTGCGAGGATCTCCAGGTCTGTGAATACAGCCTGGAGGCAGAGAGAGGGAGTCAGAGAGACACAGGGTTAGAAAGATGGAGGATCAGAGAGAGGAACGGGGTCAGAGAGAGACGGAGGTCAGAGACCCAGAGTCAGAGACGGGCAGTCAGAGAGCGGGGTGAGGGAGGGGGGTGAGGCGGGCGGAGCTCACGTCCAGCGCAGGTGTGGCCAGCAGCACGTGGGTGGACTGGAGCACATCGGCGGCGTGCAGGCTGTTGTGGTAGGCCACGTCCTGGTGGTAGTGGTCCTCCAGAGTCAGCATATATGTCACCATCGTGTCCACCGGGATGTGGAACTTCTTCAGGAGGTCCCGTTCCTGAGGACAGGTATGGAGAGGCGGCGACCCCCACTAGCCCTTAGCTCCCCGCCCTGAGCCCCTCCCTCTCACTGCCTCTCGCCCGGCCCCACTCAGCCAACCGCCCTCCTCCTACCTGGAATATGGTGTACATGATGCAGCTGAGGGAGCGGCCCCTGGCATAATCTGACACGTGGAAGATGTTCAGGCCCCACTTGTTCAGGTCCTCCAGCTCCTGGAGGAGATGGAGGCCAGGCATCAGGAGCCTGTGAGGGCTTAGGTCTGAAGGTAGCGCCTCCATTGCTGACCCGTGGGTGGCATGCTCAGTAGTATCGCATTTACAGCCCAGGGCCCACTGGGCGGAGAAACAGCAAAGCAACCACAGCGGCTGTTTGTGGAGTGATTATCATCTGCCAGGCACTGCACTAGGCGCTTGGTCTCATTTGACAGGGGCAGAGAAGGGATGTGACTTACCCAAGACCCTGTAGCCTCGAGCTAAACTGCTCATGGGGGCCAGGAGGAAGGAAACATGGGCTAATTTTCCACGTCTTCCCAGGATCCAGAACAGTGCCAGCTTAAGAGGGTGGGGGCCCAGCAGGGGGCCCAGCACAGCGCATGCTCTAGGGGGGGGGGGGGGGGGGGGGACACACCTAAGGCAGCACGGGCCAGGGTCAGCTCACAGAGGGTTACAATAAATGTCGGCGGAGTGAGCCACTGAGAGAGCAGCACGTCTACAGTACAAACCAATGCGAGGGCCCCTCGGCTCAAGGTCTCTCGGAAGAGTCAGACGCCAAACCCAGGTCTGGCCTGCAGTGCACACTGTTGGGGTTCTGCCCAAATCCCCTTCACCGGCCACTGGCCCACCTCCTCGCTGCTGGGACTGATGCTTCTAAGGCTCACGCTGCCCCATTCTCCAGAAACTGCTTTTCCCCCCACAGGAGCTACATGGAGGGGATGATGCATCCCCCCTGGGGCAGCCCCAGCCAGTGATGACACAGGGCTACAGAGGCCGGCGCGCTCCCTCAAGGTGGGCTCCCCTCTGCGGTGCTGCTCACAGCTCCCGGTGAGACCCAGCTGAGGCCAGGCTCCAACGGAACCACCTCCTTGCTTAGCTCCTTTTGCTCCTGCTCCCAAGAGTCTCAGAAAGTTCATGTTATGCCCCTGGCTTTTATGACAGACCTATATTAGGACCCGTTCCTGCTCACCGACAGAAATCCAAAGAGGATTTTTGCCTTTACAAAAAAAGGTGAAAAGCCAAAACGGAAATCAGTGCTTAGCGTTTGTTTTGCAGCAGCGGTTACACAGGCGGCAGCACCCTGAGCAGCGAGCGGCCCAGCCAAACTCCTTCCCAGGACCGCACGGGGCACCTGGGCATCCAGGCACCAGAGCTGTGAACTGTGTCTGTGAGCACCTGTGCTTTACCTCAGTTCATCTTGTGCAACCATTAGCGAGATGTGTCCTAAGTGTCAGAAAAGCCTAAGAGAGCTTGTAAGGGTGTTACACTTCATGTAAAACTGGATGTAATTGTTTTGATCATTCTATATAATAAAAGGCCAATATGCAAATTGTCTCCTCAACCGGGAGTTCAACCAGGGGGCAGGGCAGGCCAGCCAATTGCCCGTGGCCCCTCCCCCTGGCTGGTCCCACCCCCCCCATAAGCCACCATACTCCGATCGGGGCGGACCGGCCGGATCCAACCCTTGCTCGAATTCGTGCACTGGGCCTCTAGTAAACCAAATAAAGACACATGAATTAACGCTAACGGCTTCATTTTACACCATGTGGGTTTACGAAAGGTTTCATGGGAATGCTCTGGGGACCCGTCCACCCCAATCCGCATCTCAGGCTCACCCAACACCCAGTCCTTCCCCAGGAAACCCTACCCCTCTCCAGCCCAGCCCCTGCTGGGCCCCCACCCACTTGGGCCAGGAGCTCCTCTTGGTCTGTCTTCACCCCAAAGCGGGGTATGCTGGCGTCCGTCAGGCTGCTGCTGTGCGTCATCTTCTTCACCCCCGTGATCTGAGACATAGGCTGGAACTGTGGCTCCGGGGGTGGGGGCTGCTGGGAGGGTCTCGGCCGAGGTGCCCTTTCTCCATCCCTCATCATGGGTGATGGGATCTCCACTTCATTCTGCTTGTCTGTAGAAGATGGAGGAGAGCAAGCATGCGTCCCCCTCAGAGGTCCCCTCATCTGGCCCTCAGCCCCCATCCCATTAGCTTTGGGAAGTTTTGCCCAGGACGGAAGACCCCTTCTGGGTGTCATGCTGTTGGTTACTCATAGCTGGAAACCAGAGGGGAGGTCGGAATCTTTCTGGGAAGTTGGTGGGCTGGGGTGGGGACTTTGGGGCCTGCCAGGAGCTGGGAAGTGGCCCCAGTCCAATCGCAAGGTTTGGCAGGGGGGTGGCATGGAAGTCAGGAAGTGGGGTGGGGATGTCAGAGAGGCTGCCTGCCCTGATTGGAGGTGGCTGGGAAGACAACTCCATGGTGACGGAGAGTACTGGTGGGGATGGCCAGTGCTGGGAGGAGGGAGAGAAGGGTGGTCTTTGGCTCCATGGACCCCCAGCCCTACTGGGTAACACCAGTCTGCCTGGCAGGTAGGCCCTGGAGCCTTTTTTCTGAGCTTTCAAGGGCCTCCAGAGCCCAGTGAGGGCCACCCATTGTGACCTGCCCCCCCCCCCCCCCCCAGTCAATGACAGGGCCCTACGGGGGGTCATTTGCCTGCCATGCTCCCATTGGCTGGATCTCAGAACTTGGCACAGCCACATCCCCACTGGTGGGAGCATTTGAAAATCAGAACCTTCTCTTAAACTTGGGGTGGGGTATACACCTCCTGACTTTGGGAACCTCTGGTGATAAATTGTGAGGGTGAAATCCCACGTTTGTGAGGAATATTCTCAGCTTGGGCTCTTGAGTTCAGAGGGTGGGGTGAACTGGAGATACCCAGGAGCTTGAGGGTTCCGATAAAGGTGGGGTACTCTGCATTAGGGTGCCACTGAGAGGAAATGCTCCTCAGTTTGGGGAAATCTCTTCCGGTTCTTAAGCTTTAGAAGTCTGTTGAGTTTGATTATCTAAAGTTTGGGGATACTATTGAATGTGGGAGACTTTTCAGCTTGAAGGTTTTTTATTTAAAGTTTGGAGGTTGTTTGTGGATTCTTCAGGGCAGAAGTTTCCTTACATTTGAGAGCCCTACTGAGTTTAGACATCTCTCTTGAATTGGGGGGCTCTTCTTAATTTGGGGGACTCCAAGTTTGCAGATTCTATCGACTTTTGTGGGGCTTTTCAGCCTGGAGGTATTTTCTTATTTTTTTTTTTTAAGCAAGTATTGGTTGAAGAGAGAGAGGAAGACAGAGAGAGAAAGAGAGAGCGAGAGGAACACAGACTTGCCAAGCCCCGCATTCATCGTTCATTAGTTGGCTCCAGCAGGTGCCCAAGTAGGGATCGAGCCCACAAACCCGGTGGCGCATCAGGACAACACTCCAGCCCACTGAGCCACCCGGCCAGGGCTCAGCCTGGAGGCATTATCAAGTTTAGGAATCCTATTTGAGTTTGGGGGTTTCTTGGGGTCATGAGTTTCAGAGTTCCATGGGGGTTCCCCTGAGTTTGGGAGAGCTTTTCCGTTGGGAGAGACGTTGAAATGTGGTGTTCTACAGAAGTTAGGGTCCCACTGGATTTGGGGGCATCATGAGTATGGGAAGTCTTGACCATGGTGACTTTGACCTTTGGAGAGTTGAGTCAGAGTCCACCTTGGGCAAAGGTGGGCAACAGGACCCCAAGGTCTGGGGGGGCCCTCCAGCCCAGGTGTCACCCCTGCGCGGGCTGCCTTCACTCACCCAGGAACGTGGAGGAGATGTACTCAGAGACCTGGTTTCCTGACCTGCTCATCTCTGACAGGTGTGTGAGCTCCCGGTTTAGCATCCTCTTGAACTAAGGTGAAGGAGGCAAGAAGGAAGGAATGATGGAGTCGAGGAAAAGGGGGGAAGTCAGCCTCGCCCCCCAAGAAACTTCTGAAGACTCCATGAGTCCCTCCTACTTCTCTGTTCAGCCAACAGAGCCCCCAGCAAGCTGCCAGAGGGGAGGGGTCAGCCCTTCCTCTCCTCCAGCTCCCGATGGGAGTCCCCAGGCTTGGGGAGTCCCCAGGCTTGGGAAGACTAGGCATATCTGTCCTTGCCTGAGGAAGTGGGGCTCCCCTGCCCATAGCTCTCCCTCTCCCCCCGCAAGGAGGAGCCAGAGGGGCACCTGTGGAAGGGAGGGGCTCCTAACAGGGAGCCAATGAGGTATCGGGAGAATCCCATTGCCATGGAGATGGGAGTCTCCTTAGCAACTCCCCTTCCAACCAGCTTCTGGGCTTGGGGGAAAGGCGGGGTAGGCTGCAGGCCCCTTAACCCTTGCCTTCCCAGAGCTATTCCTGGCCCCTGTGTCCCCAGACGGGGACCCCACTCCCGGGGAGTCCTGGCCTCCGGCACTCAGCCCAGTTGGGAAGGAGGGGACACAGCTCCCAAGTTCTGGGCGAAGAGAGGTTTGTCTGGAGCAGGGGAGAATGGTGAGCTTAGGAAGCCCTATTCGGTCACCTGGCAGAGGGGTTTCCCCATCATCGCCCCCTCTCCCCTGGCCCCAGGAGGCGGACAGATGCACAGATGAATGTAATATACCCAGCACTGGGCTTGGGGGCCTCTCCTGGCGCCCCCATGCTACTTCACACAGCATCTGCGGTGACATTGTGCAAGGAGGAGAAAGGGCACCAGCTCCCGCCCCCCAGCTGCCAAAGCACCCCGAAAGCAGAAGCTGACAGTGTCCAGAGATGCAAGAGGGACACTGGGCAGGAGGGTAGGCCTAAGTGGCCACCCTGGACGGGCACTTCCTCCACCCAGTGCTGCCCGGAGACCCTGGGCACATAAAGAGAGAGACACACACGCACACGCACCCGCACCCGCACACGCACACGCAAGATGGACCCACAAAGTCACAAACCGCACACAGATTTCTGTTACACAGTTCACACAGCCGCAGACACGTAAATCAAGGGGCATGTACAACAAGGTGGTCACTGACACTCGAGGTCACATGCCCCAGAAAGATCATGTAGTTCTGGACTCACAAACATGTCCAACACACAATACAATCGGAGCCCTATGATCTCAGACAGGGCCACACCATGCCCCAGGCAAACAAGCATATAGTTAGGTGGCCCCACACCACTGCGGACACACATGTGTGTACCGACAGTCACACCCAGAGAGATCCACACCCCCAGCCACCCACCGTCTACACCCAGCCCTGGGCCACACACAGAGACACAGTCATAAGCATTCATTTCCAGGCCACACACGTGCACAGCTGAACACACAAGTTCAGACCAGAGGTTGATGGGTCAGAGGTCAGAGGGTCTCCTGCCCATCCACCACCCCGAGGTCCCCTACCTGGTCCCACCAGCCCACCAGCCATGGCTTGGAGCAGGTCTCGCAGAAGAAATCCACCAAGGGCATCTTGGAGTCTAGCCCCGCTCAGGGCTGCCGCGCACAGAGGCAGAGCTTGGGGAGTCCTGGGGTTCACAGCCACAGTGGGGGGTGGGGGTGGGATGCTGGGCAGGTGGGCAGTGGAAGCGGGAGCCGCGGAGGGGCCTGGGCCGGCCCAGCAGGGCTGGGGGCTCCCTTCCCCTCCGCGCTCCCGGTGGCAGCCCTGGTTACATGGTCTGCCGGCCCCTGGCCTCTGCGGGCCCCCCCACAGCAGTGGTCGGAGGTGGCCAGGGACCCCTGCCCATGGAGGGGCAGGGCGAGGGTCCCAGGAGGCGGCTTCAGAGGCTCTGGGCTCCGTTTGTGCGCCTGTGTGTGCGTGCTCACTGCAGCACTGGCAGGCTGCATGTGATGTCAGCTGGTGCCGGGGGTGGGGGGGGGTGTTAAAGGGGCATCGGAGCCCACAGACCTCGGCCAGGCCCAAGTGGGGCTGCCGGGATAGGCAGGGCAGCACACACCCCATCGAGGACATGCCTCCTCCAGGGACACACCCAGAGACAAAGACACACACCCGGAAGCTCCCCACACTCACGGACATACACAACTCTGAGACACACCTTCCACGCTACCACGGCCAGACACTGGGCACACTGAACACTCACAGATATCCAGATGCTTTTAGTGCTACCCGACCACATGCACACACACACACAGTCACAACTCTGACGGGTAACACCTTTGTAGGTATATAGCTGAGTCCATAGAGATACAAATGCCTTCAGACACGCCCCTTCCAACAACACAGACCCACACCCAGACATGGAGACACACGCCAAGGGACAAACACTCAGATACGGGACACACTTATAAACACACACTCAACACACCCACAGACACTTTCAAACAAACACAAATACCCATGTGCCCTTAGACACAAACACCCTGACAAATCCATAAGGGAGTACACACACACACACACACACACACACACACACACTCGCAGATTCACATTCAGAGATACAGTCACATGCTCAGATGCTCAACGCACCCTCAGGGACACAACCACCCTCAGACTGATATGTTCCCAGACAGATCTCCACCCACAGGCATATGCACTGCCCCCAACTGACACCCCCACCTGCACACTCGTTTCCTGACCTGCTTCCTCCCACAGGGGCTGCCACTGAGCCGCACACTCCAGGAAGCACCAGGCACTCGGCCTACTTTCTGAGCAGTGATCCTGGAGTTGTGCAGGGCACGGTCTGCACAGCTGTCCATGGAAGGCTTGCACCCTCCCCTGCAGCCCTGCCAGCACACGCGTACGTGTGCAAGCACACACGGAGTCACAAACACATGGAGACACACACCACAAATGTGGACCAACTCACACCTGTAGACATACACATCCCCCCGGCACAGACCCACACACAACCCTGCATAATCGCCTGTGCACACCCACACCACCCATAGGTTCACATCTGTACTCCACTCCGGGCCGTCTCTTGGACCACCCCGCGCCACACACACACACACTGCTAATGTGTAGCCAACAAATGGACAGCCACACAGACTCACAGCCACAGGTACATACCCATAGATGATACAAGCACACCACCCCGCCCCGAGAAACATGATTGTCTATGGACAGATGTACACACACACACACACCAGGACGGACACACACACACACACCAGGCTCCCAAGGTCCTGGGAGAAGTAAAGATCTATAGAAGCTGTGCCCCCACCCTATAGCCCTAGCCACAGATTGGACCTGCCCACTGGGACCGCCCTGTTGCTAGCCCCTCCCCACAGGCTCTGCCTAGGAATAGCCCCACCCCACAGCCCCACCCAGGGACTGGCCCCGCCCTGCCGGCCAGCCGAGGTCCACACACCTTGTGCGACGCCATCTCGCTGACTGAGCGGTAGGTCTGCATGGTCTCTAGCTGCTCCAGACACCAGTCCAGCTCCTCCAACGTCTCGCGGGCCAACTGCTGACATGTCTCCTCTGGAGAAGGGGCAGCAGGGTGGTGACGGGGAGGATCCACAGGCAGGCCCTCAGAGGCCCGGCCCGTGGCGATGGGGTCTGCCAAGTGAGTGGGGTGTTGGGAAAGGGGTTGAATCTGCTACCCTGGGCGAGGGACCCCCACTGGGGCAGTAAGAGGGGCCCTTTTCCACTACCCCTGGGCTTACCTGACAGTGTGGCCTTGCAGACTGGGGTTGGGCCACTCAGTGGGGATCGCCTGCAAAGAAACGGGGCTCCAGTGCCAGCCTGGGCCCCTCCGGATCCCTGCCCCCCTCTCCGTGAGTGGTGCCGATACTCCTTTTGCTGAGCGCTCAGTGTGTCCCAGGCACGCTGCCATGTACTCTGCAGCCTCTCACAGAACCCACAAGAACCCATTTTACAGACAGGGAAACTGAGGTTCAGGGAGGTGAACCAGCTTCCTGGAGACTACATGGCTGATCAGCAGTAGGGTCAGGTCTTGTGTCTCCAAAGTTCCTGCTTCCTTCCATGCCCCGCCCCCCCCCCCCCCCCCCAACTCCCAGAGGGACCAGCAGCTCTCAGCCATACCGCTGACCCAAATGAAGAAGAAGTGCTCCTATTCAGTGAGCACTTACTATGTGCTGGGCAATGTTTTAGCACTTTCCATTTATCATCTTCTGGACTCCTCACAGCAGCCATCTCGTGGGGCAGCTATTAAATTCTTATTTTATGAAGGGGGAACAGATACACCACAGGATCCTATCTGTCCAGCAAGTTAGCGTAAGGGCAGGAGTGGCCCCGAGGCCGGGGTGGCTGGCCGCCTGTGGTCTCACCACCCTGTATCTGGGACCCTCAGTCTTTATGTATAGAGGTTTCTGTGTCTTAGGCATTTGAATGGCAAGAGTTGACTGGCTCAGAGGGAGCTGTTACCTGAACAGACAGATCAAGTGCCTGCCTGAGGTCACAAGGCAGACCCAGCGTGGACCCAGCTGTGCTTAGCTCACGATCGCGGCTGTTGGGGCCCAGCTCAACTTACTTGTTGCTGGGAATGGGCACGTTGGTCAGGAGTGAGAAGTTGCTGCGGACACTCCGGAGACTGGCCAGCACCTGGGATCGGGACGGCAGTGAGGAGAGGGGACTGGGCCCCTGTCCCCAAGTGTGGGGGAGGTTTGGGGTCCTTTCCCTCCTTGGGGGCGAGGTCTCACCTGGGCAAATGGCGTCACGATGAGGTCCTCAGCATACCTGTAATCCAGGACAGGGGTAGGTCAGGGGTCCGCACAGTGGGACGCCAAAGGACCTGGGAGTGGAGGGGGCGGGGCGCCAGAGAAGCAACTCTCCTGGGGGACACTCCGTAGGGGCCGGGCCCAGGGAGGCTGGTGGGCAGGGAGGGGGCTCCTTAGGGTGGGGGGAGAGGGCACTGACACCTCACAAGAGTGAACATGCTGCAGGGGCCAGTCCTGAAGGAAACGGTGGTAGGGAGAAGGGCTCAGGTGTGTGGGGGCAGGTGAGAGCAGTGGGTGGGGAGGGGAGTAGGGCAGAAAGGGGCCTGGGGGTGTGTGTGTGAGATGGGTACCTTGATGGGTAGGGCAGGGCTGGAGGATCCAATGAGAGGGGAGGGGGCTGAGCAGGTCTGGGGGTGCTCACACCTCCGTAGGTGGCAATGATGAGGGAAGCTGGCTTAGGAAAGGCTGGCGGAGGGGAGGAGAGGCTGCTCAGCAGAAGGGCTGGGTGTGGCTGGGTGGGGGGCAGAGGTAGGGTGGGCACTCACTGGATGGACATGCTATAAGGGACTCCACTCCTGACGGGGAAGGGGGCGTTTGCCCTCCCCTGGGGGCTTGGGCAGCGCGCCCCCTCCTTGCTGGGAAGGGCAGCCTGTGAAAGGGCCAGGCCTGGAGTAGCTGGCAGGTGGGGTTAGGGAGTGCTCACGCCTCACTGGTGACTGACGAGTTCCGGGACATGGTCTTGGGCGACATGTCATAGTCGCTGTCGGAGCGGTAGAGGAAAGATTCGCGGCGCTGGCTGGTGGCCGGCCGGCGGGGGACGGTGTAGGCCCATTCTCCGCCTCGAAGCTGCAGGGGCGGCAGGAACTGGGGTCAGGGGGCTGAGATGGCTTTGGGGAGGTTAAGAGGAACTGGGCGGGGGGGCAAGGGAATTCCTGGCAGAAATGAGGGACAGATAGAGGACACTAAAGAGAGAGACACCCCAACAGAGATGGCAGACAAAGAATCGCAGGGATCAACAGTACTGAGAGCCTCTGTGAGCCAGGCGCTGTGGTAGGTGCTGGGATACATTAGTGACCATGACCTGTGCTTCACGGGGATGACATGGGAGGGCTGGACTTTCCACACGTTGGCCTAGTAACAACGCACACGCCAAGTTGTGGGGTTCTCATTGACCCTGCTTTTCCCACTGTACCTCACATCAGCCTCACTGCTCAAATCTATGCAGAATTGGCCCACTTCTCAGCCCGTCTGTGGCCAGCCCCCCTCATCACTTGCCTGGACCAGTGCATTCTCCTCTGCCCTGGTCCCTGGCTCCTGTCTTTGCCCCTCGGTCTGTTTCCCCCTCAGCAGCCAGAGGGACCCTTAAACACTTGAGTCAGGCCATATCCCTCCTCTGCTCAGAACCTTCTATGGCTCCCAACTCACTCAGAGGAAATGCCAGAGGCCTCGCTGCAGCCCACCAGGCCCTGCCTGGGACCTCCCACTCCACCCATCACTCACTGTGCTCCAGCCACAGTGGCCTCCTCGCTGTTCCCTAAACATTCCATACACGTTCCTGCCTCAGGGCCTTTGCACCGGCTGTTTACCCTGCCCAGATCCCCAGTGGCTCCCCTTTCACCTCCTTCAGGCCTCAGCTCAAAAGTCGACTCCTCAGGAAGGCCTCCCCTCACCAACCGCTGTCATGATATTTCATATTTCCCTTTCTTAAAAGCATACTATTGCCTGGCTGGCATGGCTCAGTGGTTGAGCGTCAACCTATGAACCAAGAGGTCACAGTCCAATTCCCGGTCAGGGTACATGCCCAGGCTGCGGGCTCAGTCCCCCGTGTGGGGCGTGCGGGAGGCAGCCAAAGCCGATCAATGATTCTCTCATTATTGATGTTTCTCTCTCTCTCTCTCTCTCTCCCCTAACCTTTCCTCTCTGAAATCAATAAAAATATATATTTTAAAATACTAGTTATTGGACATAATCTATATTTTGCTTCTTTACTGTTTGCGTTGTCTTCTAGAAGTAAGTACTGCAGATCAGGGATTTTTGTCTGCTTTGTTTACTGCTGTACCCCTTGGGCCAAGAACATGGCCTGGCACATAATGGACGCCCAGTCAATGTTTACTGAATGGATAACAAAATGTATAAATGAATGAATGAATGAATCCGTGAAACCATGGACTGGATTGTGGCCTACAGAGAATTAAAAGTAGGTGGATGACGGCAAGTTACTGGAGAGCTGATTTCAGCTGTTGTGGTTGAAGCAGGCCAGCCTGACAAGGTGACATCTGAGCAGGGCCAGAAAGACAAGAAGGAAGGAAGACCATGGGTCAGGAGGAAGCACTCCAGGGTGAGGGAACAGCAAGTGCAAAGACCTGGGGCAGGATTCAGTTTTTGTTTGAAGGCCAGCGAGGAAGCTGGGGCGGCTGGAATGGAGATGCAGACCAGGACAGAGACGCGGCTACAGGGAAGGGAGACAAGGGGACCCTGGCCTGGGGCACTGGCAAGACTGAGACCCTCAGGGCAGGGGGACGCTGGCCATGCCACTTGCCAGCTGTACGACTTGAAGAAAATGACTGAATTTCAGTTTCCTTGTCCACACGATGCACAAAACCACCACGTCCCTCGGGTCATCCAGGTGACCAGCATTAACACAGGTAAAACGCTCAGAACCGTGCCTGGCACAGAGTTCAAAAAACACTGGCAATTCCAAGTCTGTCAGCCACACATAGGCCACTTGGGGAGTGGCCTCAGCAAGGCAGGAGATACGGAGAACCGAGTATGAGACTGGGAGCTGTGTGCCTGCAACATGCGCTGTGGCTTTGGGAAGGCCTCTGACCTCTGGTCACTTACTCCACTGCTAAAGTGAGGGGCTTAGGCTAGTGGGCAGATTTCATGCTATGCTCGGGGTGTTCAAAGGAGGAGGGGGAGGAAAACGGGGCCCTCCATTTTCCGGCCCTACCTACTGCAAGCCAGCATAAGATTATTATTTGAATAGTCCCTCTGCTAAGAAACAAGTCTGAAATCTCTTAGAACCGGACAACGGCAACCATATATGGAGCCTTTTTTCTAGGCTACTTGTGCGGTGCGGAGAGTGGAGAGGGAATTCACTGATTCCCTCTTACAGATGAAAACCAGGTTCAGAGAGGAGAATGATTAGCTCTGAGTCACACAGCAAGACCATGATGGGGTCAGAATTCGAAACCAGAAGTCTTGTGACTCCTCAGACCAAAATGTTAGCTGCTGCCCTCTGCCCACCTGATCCCATCAGAGCATATTATTTTCATTAAATAGAATATTCAGCCCTGGCTGGTTTGGCTCAGCGGATAGAGTGTCGGCCTGTGGACTGAAGGGTCCCTGGTTCGATTCCGGTCAAGGGCACAGGCCCGGGCAGCCGATCAATGATTCTCTCTCATCATTGATGTTTCTATCTCGCCCTCTCCTTTCCTCTCTGAAATCAATAAAAATATATTTTTTTAAAAATAATAATAAATAAAATGTTCAAAAGGGCCAGACAATCAACACAAAAAGCAGAGTGGGGCTGGAGCCCTGAGTAATCAGATATTCCAATTTTAGTAAAGAAACCTGAAATATTAAAGTACAAAATTCAAACTTTAAAAAAAAATATTTTATTGATTTTTTAGAGAGAGGAAGGGAGAGGGATAGAGCGTTAGAAACATCGATTCAGCTACCTCCTGCACACTCCCCACTGGGGATGTGCCCGCAACCAAGGTACATGCCCTTGACTGGAATCGAACCTGGGATCCTTCAGTCTGCAGGCCGACGCTCTATCCACTGAGCCAAACAAGTTAGGGCCAAAATTCAAACCTTTTAAAAAGCACACTTCAGCACATCACCCGAGCCACTTTCAAGGGCTGTTTTTCCAGGCAGCCAGCTTTGGCCTGTGCTACAGACTTTCCTAAAAACTCTCAAAGGTCCAGAGGCCCCGGGCAGGTGGCAGCTGGCCTCAGCTTGCCCTGTGCCTCCTGCTGAGCACCCGGGCCGGCACTGGTGGTAGCTGGCATCAGTTTGTAGCGTGACCCCTCCCAAGCACCTCCCAGACCAACAGAGGCAGCTACCAACCTCGGACATCTTGGTAGCTCCTGCCGGGTGGCCGGGGGCCAGGCCTAGGCAGCCGCTGACCCTGGGTTGCCCTGGAGGCCCTCCAAAGAGGCCCCAGCACCAACACACTCAGTGGCTGCCTTCAGACCACAACAGAGCACCCCTGATTATCTCCACAAAAGGCACCCCCAAAGGGTAGTCTCAGCAAGCACCAGAGCCCTTTTGGGGTGAATCCTGCTCTGTGGTCGTGGCCAGTCAGCCTGAGGGTCAACCCTACTCAGACTACCCTACTCAGACATGCCCACTCAACTATAACAGGAGCGCACACTCGCCCCACACAAGGGCACTCCTAGAGCACCCAGCTCAGGTGACCAGGCAGACTGCTCCACTGGGCCCTACAGGTCACCCATTACATAAGGCCGCCTTGCCAAGACTGGGAGACATAGAAAATCTACCTAATACATAGAAACAACACAGAGAGGCAGCCAAAATGAAGAGACAAAGAAACATGCCTCAAAGGAAAGAACAGGAGAAAATTCCAGAAAAAGAATGAAATGGAGGCCACTAAGCTACCAGATGCAGAGTTGAAAACACTGGCTATAAGGATGCTCAATGAACTTAGAGGAAGAATAGATGAACTAAGTGAGAACTTCAACAAAGAGATAGTATAAATAGCATAAATAAGGTCATAGACACCATAAAAAAGAACCAGTCAAGAATGAAAAGTACACTAGAAGGAATCAAATAGCAGGTTACATGAAGAAGAGGATCGAATCAGCGATTTGGAAGACAAAGTAGAGAAAAACACCCAATTGAAACAGCAAAAAGAAAACAGAATTTTTAAAAATGAGGACAGTCGCCGAAACCGGTTTGGCTCAGTGGATAGAGCGTCGGCCTGCGGACTGAAAGGTCCCAGGTTCGATTCCGGTCAAGGGCATGTACCTGGGTTGCGGGCACATCCCCAGTGGGAGATGTGCAGGAGGCAGCTGATCGATGTTTTTCTCTCATCGATGTTTCTAACTCTCTATCTCTCTCCCTTCCTCTCTGTAAAAAATCAGTAAAATATATAAAATAAAAAAAATGAGGACAGTTTAAGAGACCTCTGGGACAACATCAACCATTTCAACATTCACATCACAAGGGTACCAGGAGGAGAAAAGAGAGCAAGGAATTGAAAACCTGTTTGAAGAAATTATAGCTTAAAACTTCCCTAACGTGGCGAAGGAAATAGACATATAAGTCTAGGAAGCTCAGAGAGTCTCAAACAAAATAAACCCAAAGAGGCCCATAACAAGATACATAACAACCAAAGTGCCAAAGTTTAAAGACAAAGATAGAATCTTAAAAGCAGCAAGAGAAAGACAGTTACCTACAGGGGAGCTCTCATAAGACTCTCAGCTGAGCCCTGGCTGGGTAGCTCAGTTGGTTAGAGCATCCTCCCGATACACCAAGGTTGCAGGTTCAATCCCTGGTCAGGGCACATAGAAGAATCAACAAATGCATGCATAAGTAAGTGGGACAATGAATCGCTGTTTCTTCCTCTGCCTCTCTCTCACTAAAATAAATAAATTTTAAAAGTGAAAAAAGAAAAGACTGTCAGCTGATTTCTCAACAGAAACTTTGCAGGCAAGAAGGGATTACCACACAATATTCAAAGTGATGAAAAGCAAGGACCTACAGCCAAGACTACTCTATCCATAAAGGCTACCCTTTAGAATTGAAATAGGAGATAAAGAGCTTCCCACACAAGAAAAAGGTAAAGGAGTTATCACTACCAAATCAGTATTAGAAGAAAT